AGGGAGGGGACGCAAGGCGGCCTCCATGCAGGCAGGCCGAGCTTTGCAGCCGCCCCCCCCCAGGCATCCGGCCTTTAGCGCCTGCGCCTTCTACACAAGGCCTCTCTCTGCACACGGAAACAGAAGAACGGTGTGCATCACCTGAACGCAGGGCCCTTGTGCTCAGGACAGGAGTCCCCTCACGGGGCCCACCTGGCTGGAGGGCGTTAGGGGCATTACATGGACCTGGGAAGCCAGAATACGGAGGGGCTGGAAGCGGGGGGGGCAGACAGAGGGGATGGATCAGCAGAAGGGGTGCTCAGGTAGGGGCCCCCACCTCGGGCCAGCTCTGACCCTCCCCTGCCCCCGCCCAGGGTCCTCCTCCCCAACAAGGCTGTCCCACCCTGCCCAAACCAGCCCCTCTTTCTTCCACGGGGGGGGGCTCCCCTGGGAGGGGCAAGGGAGGGCCTGACAGAGATGGCCCTCAGGGCCCGGCGCCTCTTTCAGACCTCTCCGCTGCTAATTGCCTTCTAATGCAAAGGAAATTACGCATAAACAGAATGCAGAGAAACAGAATCCTCACTCCACTTTTATGTGAGGCATGGCCAATTACACAAAATTACGCGAGCACTTTGTGGAAGGACAGGCGCATGTGCGCGCTCGCTGGCTGGCTGGCTCCTGCAACTGTGGCTCCCGCAAACTCATAATGGAAAGCTGAGCGCTTAAAGTGAGCAGACACAGATTTGTCTTACATGATTTGAATTATTTAGTAAATTACTCCAGAGCAGGATTACATGCCTTCAAGGGAAGTGGGATGCGCCGAGACAAGCAGCCCTTTCCTTTCGTGAGCAGAGACCGTCATCTGGCCATCTCAACGACCGCCCAAAGGTCTGGAGGCCCCGGCCAGTGTGACGTGGGGGTGGGCTGTGGGGGAGGGAAGGAGAGAAGCGAGCAGAAGGCCTCCTGGGCCGCTCGCCGTCTCCTCCTGGCAGGCGGTGGAAGGAGCTCAGCTGCAGGACCGGCGGCTGCAGGTGACAAAACAGCAGCAGCCTTTCCTGCGACGATGCCTCCAGGCCCGGCATCAGAGCACCTGCCTGCAGAGTCACTTTCCAAGCGCTTCACCGGAGCAAGGGCTGCGCCGTCGTCGTTGGCAGAGGCAAGCCGCGCAAATGCAATCACGGTGCCGTAATGAGAAGATGCAAAACACGGGGGAAAGCTGCCCGGCGTGCCTTGTGGGCCAATCCTGCATCCTGGACAGAGGCAGCGTTTGGAGGTGGAAGGAGAGGGCAACGCGCCCAGCCTGAGCGACACAAAGGGAGCCAGCTCAGGGCTGCACGGAGAGAGGAGCAGGTGGACCCACCACCAGGCTGCGTGACCCCCCCAGCCCTTCCCGAAGGAAACGCCGGTCTGCCCTCCGCACTTGGTTCCCCCTCACCCGGGAGCCCCTCGGCCTCTCCCGGTAGAAGGACAGGATCTCCCCGTCAAGAACAGAACAGGCAAGGGTCTGCCCACAGAGAGGCGACCAAAGCGTCAGGCAAGAGGCCGGGCTGCCAGGAGGGAGAAGGAACTGGTTGG